AAATAGGATTTGGAAAATAAAATACTTACTTAAAGGAAAATACAGCAAGAAATCACAATAGTACACTTTTCTTCTTATGGTAAAACCGAATATATGTATCATTAATAGATAATACTCTGTTTCCAATAACAACACGGGTGAAACTAGTTCAAGGACAGGATCAACACTAAACGTGTCGTTCTTCCTTTTTCTAGCGAAACAGAAAGAGCTAGAAGGATATAGATGCAACTTTCGTAATTGGTTTATTCAAGGTGAAAGCGATAATCGACCTAATTTCAAAGGTAGAACGTACTTTTTTTAGTCGAACTGTATTATTAAGTCAATTAGTGCCAAATTTTGACATAATACTGTATTCTTCCGGACAAGCGATATATATATATATATATATAATATGTGTTTCAGTATATGACAATATTTTCTGATAGTACCAGTACTAGCAAGTATAGTATTAGATTATATATATTGTTACGAGCTTGAGGTTCGTGACAATAAAAACTGCCGATTGAATTACCAAAATGAACACTTTAATCACCGAACACCAATTAAAACTTATAAACACTAATAATTATTCGCACTTAACACTTTAGTTCACTTTATTTCACTCCGAAGCCTTCGCTTGTGTCGCCAATTCAATACTGCCCCGATTGCGGCTTCCAGCGGCTTTAAAACACCTTTTACACCGAAACATCCTGAATATTCCAGTAAATACGATTAAAAGGCCGGCAACGCATCTGCAATTCCCCTGATTTTGTTCATGGGCGGCGGTAATTACTAACCATCTAGTGAGGCGTAGGCTTGTTTGCCCCCTCCTATAATTTTTTATATTGTGACTGCAAAATTATTAATGTTAGTGAGTTTCGATGAGAAGTAGCTCCTCCCTGATCCAGTGTGCTTGTCGAGCCTTTCGATGTGTGTTAGTGGGCTGCGGCTATAGGAGAGTTCTCTCCCTTACCGCTGCAGCCGAGGGGAAGTCGCAAGGTAAGAGAAGTGTTGGTATGACGATTGGCGATGCTCTGGCTAAATTGCTTCCACATATCAGGCTTGGGGAGTCCGTTGTGCAGGTGGAGTTAGAGGCCGCAAAGGGCAGCGCACCTTGTGTTTCTGGTGTGCTTTATCTGAGAAGGAAAAGGGGGAGGAGAAGTCCGCAACTAAGGTGGGGCCGCGGATGGATAAAAACGTAGATAGACCATTGATCTTGGTTTTATATGAGGTGTAAAGTTTTCGACTAAGGCCTAGGTATTAATTGATATATTTGCAATTAAACAATACACAAATCTACTAATACATCAACCTCCCTGTCGCAAGGATATATATAAAAGAAATGTTCATGATATGACTACAGTAATTTATAACTTGCTCCCAGGACTCAAAATACTTAGAGGGCCGATATTTAAAAATGGATTGATTGTGTGGCTCTTGAATAAATGTTTTCATAGTTATAAGAAATTTTAATTGGCGACATTCGTTTATTAATTTAACTTATCTTATTATGGGTATTATTATAATTTTTGCACGAAGTTTTGTTTCTTTTGTGACATACATATTTATTTAATTTGAATTATATAATCAATTATCAATTTTTGCACGTCTGTGGGCAGGCTGAACACAAGTACCTGTACTTATGTTTATTGTGACCTTATTAAGCTGTGTTTTTGCAAATAAACGTGTGAACTTGTAATTTACAGCTTATAGTTGGACACTTTTTCAACTTGTCCCCCATATGAGATAGTCCTCCTTATCTCTAACCTCGATATGACGTTTTACGTGGTGACATTAGAGATCTTCCTATTCTGCCAAATTCTTGTTAATCTTCTCATTGTACCTTTGTCTATTTGGATTCGAATTCGTAAGGGCCTATACTAGTTCAAATTACTTAGCAAGATCCGCCGTTATACCGAAAATATTGCAGCATTAGTTTTGAAATAAATATATGGTAAAGTTGAGGATCAATGTTAAGTACCATGTTAAACGAAAACACCATACCTTGAAATATACTCGATAGAAAAAAAATCCTAAGTTACCTCCAAACCGAACAATAAACAGCTGATCATGCAACTTTGCATACTAACTGAACTGATTATAAGGCAGGGCTTATGTTTTTTTATATTTTAATTACCATTATTTTCACCGTAAAAAGAAATTACCTTAACTATTGGCGTCCTGAAATAAACCCAATGAAATAAGTATCTAACGACCTATCTGCATTGGCCTTCAAAAAAATCGACCTACCTACGTTTTTTCACAAAAAAAGTGTCCTATGGGTTTTTATTTTTACAAATTTCGATAGATATTTTTTATATTGATAATGTAATAATGCAATTATAGGGTTGTAAAAAACGAAAAAATAGCGCCTGAAATGGGATATTTTACATACAAATGTGATGAGACATTGAAACCATAACATTTTACAAAATTTAAGATTTTACTGTGAAGATCAATATTTACATTTTTTGTACATTTATTAAAATGTAAACCTTATCTAATATGGGGTGTCTCCTCCTCTTGCTTTTATCACCGCCTGCATACGCCTAAGGGCACGGGTCAGCTTTTTTATGTCTTGGGGTGTCTGTTCCCATTCTTCTGTTAAGGCGGCTTCCAGTTGATCCAACGTCTCGTTAACTGGATTTCGGGCTGTAACCTTTCTTTTTATCTGGTCCCAGAAATTCTGCGTAACTGGAATTCCGACCTCCTGAAGATATCCAGTTACAATTACAATAAAAATACGGCAGAAAGATGCCGATTTCGCAAAGAAGTCAATAAAACGGTCATCCGTCGGGTTTGTGGTACGTCCTCTTCCAGACCCCGGTCTCCGATGGTACTCTCCCGTCTCTAAGTATCGTTTATAAAATACGCACTGCTGATCGACTCAAATTTAATCTCCTTGCCACATTTCCCTGACTTAGCCATTCAGTGGTATCCATATTTTATGGTAAAAAGTAACGATGTGTCTGCTACAACAAATAAAAGATTAAGTCACTACATACACAGAACCGAGAATATTACGCGTCAAAAGTCCGAAATAAACTGACCTTGCACTCTATGCACAAGTCTAAAATTTTTATCAGTGCGCTTAAAATGTTACAAATACCCACAATAGCACTTGTATTCCTCTTACACAATGCCAAGTGGGTACTCAGGTGTTAATTTATAACGCATAAGCAAAAACATAAAAGTATGTCAACGCATACTTAAGATGACAACTTTGTTACTCAAAATTAACCGTTGGGTCAATTTTTTTGGAGGCCAGTTTACTTACAGTATTAGGGAAGTGGGGGTGAAATTAGAATTTAAGCTGAGATAGTATAGGCTTAAGTAATGTTCGCTTCCTCTTCTGCCGAAAGCAGCGATCCGAAGTACAAAAACTCCAGATTCAAGAGTTCTCCAGTCCTAGTAAATTGACAGGTTTTGTTGATCAGCATTAATTTTGTTTTGTATCTGTTAATACTGAATCCAACCAGTCCACTCTCTACCTCTAAATTGCTAAACAGCCCAGCAAAGTCGATTCTCTCTCTTAGCTAGCATGTGGGTTGACAACCGTAATTTTTATTATGTATTTTGAGTTGTTATCAGGAAGATACTGCCTGCCTATCTCCTCTGTTGCCTTATTCGATACTCACGGGATGGCATGGGGTCTTAGAGTTTCCAAGTAATAATATATATTCTTAAGCAGAAGGTAGTGGATATGTTTAGACTTATAATTAAATAATTAAAAATAAATAAATACACAAAAACGAGTATATCGATTTCGATTGTTACTAACATTGAGAACGAAATCACCATAGATTAAGACGTCATGTCTTGTGAAATAACGTTAAACATAATACTACTAGGTTACACATACTAACTACCACATAATACTATCAAAAGGGACGCTATTTTTCTAGTAAATTAGAAAATACGAGTGTACCAGTCTTACATTTGGCATAATATTAAGAGATGAAAGATGATCACTTCTCATTAAAACTATACGAATAAATTACACGCAACATCTTTCAATTGTGTTTCTCTTTGTGCCTTATTTGAAAATTAAATTAGAAAAAGCGAGACAAGAATATTGACTTATTTATGTAGAATCTTAGGTTCCCCTATGCATACATACAGAATGTGCCAGAAGTCGACGTCAAGCCGGAATGAGGTGATAGGTTAAGTCATAATAGTTAACAGAAAAATATAAAAAAAAATTTGCTCTGTATATTAAAAATTATAGGTATTTTTAAAATATCGAGAAAATGTACACCCTGTGACGGTCTTTTCCTCTTCTCTTTCTGTTCCTATAAATTATTAACTTTTTTTAAACTTGCTTTAAATTTACAGCCAACTGCACCAATCTAGAAGGAAATGTAATTTTTGAACCAAGTATTCAAAATTAATAATTTGCCTAGTTTTAAATGAATGTACTGAAAAAAAAATGTACTACACGAGTTTGGCAAGTGACTTTAAAATTTGTATTTAAAATACTCTGCAAAGATTTTTTTATATATTTTCTTTTTAATTATATCACCCGATTCCGGCTTAAGATAGACATACTGAAATTAATCTTAATTAAATTGTCTTCCAATTTATAAGACGACAATGTTATAATATCTTCTCATCTGAAAATGCAGTTATACTGGCATTTAGTTGAGTGAACCGTTGTGTACTATTAAAAAACAAACTAGACCTAAAAACAATAGGTATCAATACCTCCTGCCTTGGTCTAGTGGTCCGTAAGCCGCGAGTTGTTACTAAGCGGTCCCGAGCTTGTATGCTGGGTCTAGTTAAAATTAGTTATTGAGTTTTTCTGTCAAGAAACTCACCCTCTTGCATGCATTTATTCAGCAACTTACCTGCACGTATACGTTTCGTGAACCTGTGTTTGTGCACATGCTGATGAACTACAATTCCATCCTACGCAGAGGGTTAGTTTGCGTTACAACTGGCCACCGTTACGGGAATTCGGTCGGGAGAACATTAGGTATGAATAGTTGCGATGTGACTAATAGGAGACATTTGTCCCGCAGGTCGGAGGCGCTGTCGGCGGCGTTTCGGGCGTGGGCATGGGCGGCGTGTCGGGCCCGGGCGTCGGCATGGCGAGCGGCGGCTGGTTCAAGCAGGGCGGCGTGGCGGGCGGCATGCTGGGCATGCGCGCGCCGTACGCAGGCGGCGGCGCGCCGCGGCTGGGCGCGCGCTATTTCCCGGGCGGCGTGGGCGGGGTGGGCGGCGTGCTGCAGCGCTCGCCGCCCGCCACGCCGTCGCCGCGCCCACCCACGCCGTCGGAGCTGTTGCTGCTGCGGCAGTCGCCCGCGCCAGCCGCGCCACACCACGCGCCCGACGACCAGCCGCCGCCCATGACGCCGCAGGACCAGCTCACCAAGTTCGTCGAGCAGTTGTAGTGTACATAGCCGCCGCGCGCACCACCGCACCTGTACCATATAACATAGAAGCGGCGACGCGCTACCCCTCCACACCCGCCCCACTCCCTACCCCCGCTCCCCCCTCTCCCTCACCCGACACACGCACTATTTATTATCGAGTGTAGAGACGCGATGGACGTAAAAGTATTACGATAAGCGCTCAATGTACAAAATGTAAATACAAGAGAAGAGTACATCATTGTCCGCTTCTGCGTTTATAATTGTAAGTTGTTCGTAGTGTAGGTACATTATGATACTTATTCTGTTTATTGTAATTAAATCATTTTATAATATAATTATGTGATCATTATAGACCGTTGTTTTTGTTCCACTGTACTACTACCCCTGAACATTTCACTATTGTATAAAGATTATAGGCTAATAAAGAACATAAGAATTATTAACAATTGTTTTGAGTTACAAACTTAGTTACCCATGTCCTTTCAATATGTACATATTATATTTATTGATTTGTCTATGTTTCAACATTCTATGATTAACGCTGCAGTTCTGAGCTTAATCATTAAGTTACCGAAATCTGGCAATTGAATGTACTCCATGTTCATTAACATTTATTTAGCAATAGAGAGAAAAATAACAGCAAATTATTTTCATACTTCGATAAATATGGTAATGTTAAGTTATTATATTGTTAGAAGTTATATGTGTTGACATAGTTCACAGAAACATGTCAAAATGCATGTTTAAATAAGTACTCTTCAAAAACTTAAACATTATGAAGTTTGGTAATTTTATACTATCGCAGTCACTTCGTTTTTTTTGGCTCCAGAAAATCGAAAAATCATCCGATTTCGATGTTTTTTTTTAAATCTTGTTATTACGGTGGATTTACGAAAATAAGTAAAAGAATTAAAAAAATGAAAACATATGTACTGGTTTCAAGGCTTTAAATCAGAGTTCCCCAAACTTTTTTGTGTCGTAGACCCCTTGCCATGTTTTTCCGTGTTGGGTAGACCCCCTACTTACCTGATATTGATTTCCTGTAAATTTCTAACTGTAGTGAAGTTTAGTGTTAAAAACTTAAAGTAAAAACACATGTTAATTTATATATTTATTAATTGAATTTAAATTAAAGCTACTCAAAATAAAATGTTGTATCTGCTATGAAAAATATACGTAGCATTAAATAAACATAAAATAACATAAGCAATAAGTCAATATTTTTAGTGAGAAGGATGAACCTGATGCTTTAATAATAAATTATCAACATTTGGCGTCAATTTTGTAAGGGTTAATCTTAAATCTCCTCGGCTAATGATGTCCAGTCTGTTTCTTTTTTTCGTTAAGATTGGTAACAGCGCTGAACCCCCTTTCCACTAGGTATGACGATGGAAAGGAAATTAAAAATTTCCTCGCTATATTCCATAATACGGGATAAGTAACGGGTATGTTGTTTTGCAGCCAGAATTGCTGATATACGTTTTTGAACTGAACCTTAAGTTCTTAGTTTGTACTTAGTTCAGTAAGTTCCTCTTGTATTATGACATTCGTTTCTTCTATGTCACCATATGGATTAATTATCCACGGTGGTATTACCATAGTCAAAATATCCTCAAACCTAGATTCAAAATCTGAATAGAGGGCATTTAAATATTGAACGTAAGTTGAAACGTCGTCTTCCTGGCAGCTTGTCTGTGACAAATTGGGGAACTGAGAAAATTCGCCCCGTCCAATATTTTGCTTCATTAGTTCAACTCTGACAAGAAACGCTGATAAGATGGACTTTGTTTTAATCAAATTTTAAAAAACAAAAAATTTCGACAGCCAGCGTACTTCAGTGTGAAGGAGTAATTGATGAAAGTGTTCGTCATTTTCTTCACACAACTGCGCAAATATCCGCGTATTCAACGCGTTGCTTCGGGTTCGGTTTACTGCATCAATAACTAAATGAAGTGATTCATGCAATCTAACACTCAAATTTTTAGCAAGTAAATGTTGTCGATGGATGACGCAATGTATTGCTAACACCCCTGACACATTTTGTTTTAAATAGCTTATAAATCCACGATAACGTCCAACCATGGCAGGTGCTCCATCTGTAGCTACTGATATTATATTTGATAAAGGAATTGCTTTTTCAATGAAGTAATCCTTCAAAATATGAAATATTGATTCACCTTTAGTGTCGGTTATCAAAGTTCTTACGAAGAGCAGTTCTTCGTAGATTTCTAGATTCATAATAAAACGAACATATGCCAATAATAATGCTGCATTATCAGGTAAAGTTGACTCGTCCAGTTGTATAGAGAAATGGGTCGTTTGCAAATAATTACATAAGAAGCTTAATACGTCTTTCAACAGTATTGTTGCTTAAGGGAATTCTTTTATTGATATCAGATGCAGGTTTGTGTAAAACAGTTTTTAAAACCTCTTCAACGGCTGGCAAAATTAACTTCTCTCCGATAGTATGCGGTTTTTGCTATAAGTAACGAGATATTATAAGACGCCCGCAAACCATCATCATTTCTTTGTGACGTCGAAGCGAACATTCTGTCCAGTGTAGGTCTCTTCTGAAGTCTAATATCTTTGAGTGTTTGAAAATATTTCAAATCTTTCTCTTTTTTATCAGGGTGGCATCTTCTCAGATGATCTTGCAGTTTAGATGGTTTCGTAGCGTCATTGCCCAAAACTTTCTTGCATAAAAGGCACATAGGCAATTGTTTGTCCGACAATGATGGAATGAAGCCAAATTTCAAATAATCTACACTGTACTGTCTACATTTCTTTTTAGATTCGGACATGGCATCAGTCATCTGTGGGCAAAATTAAATTATTTAAATAAGACAGAAAATCCAAAAGCTGTATATTAAAAATATTTTTTGATTTTTCCGAAAACATTCCATAATTCGAACATCTTCTTGAAACAATTAGCTCGAATTACGGAGATTGCACTGTAATTATAATACCGATTGCTAAAACTTTCAAAAAGAAACTATTGAGGAGTACTCGTGTAATTTTGCATGAGTGAATATTAAACACAATAACTAAAGTCATGATTGGCGTAATTTATCTATCTTTGCTAACTACGAGTACAAAACTAAAATTTAATAAAAAATAATGTACTTACTTTTCTCCCAAACAAAATAACACTGACTCACTATAATTTCTGTGACTTTCCTTTTCAAGATTCAGGAAATGAATAAACGTATTTGTCCCACATTCGTATTTATAGAGTGACGAATTGAACAAGTCAAGGCAAGGTAGCGAAGCTCTGAGACTGCGACTCTCAGGTTTTTACAAGTTCAAAATGTATTGCGACCACAAAGCGAATACCAACGTCCTACAACTTACACAATTTTATAAACATATAGAATAAATTTTTTACTTCATAGGTACTTTTATAAATAATGTATGTTTTGATATTATAAGATAGTATGATGTAAGTAAATAGGTACTATCAGTGTATGTGCTGAGATCCACTATCGTGGACCCCCATTTACATTTCATGGACCCCCAAATTTTTTTTCACTTGCAGGTTGTCATAGACCTCTAGGGGTCGATATAGACCACTTTGGGAATCACTGCTTTAAATGTTCATGAAAATGCACTAATTCACGTATAATTGTTGATATAAAATAATCAAATGAAGTTGTTTTTTTTTTTCATAATCTACACAAAAGAAGGAACATTAAAAAAAAGAAACATTGAAAAATGTTTGTTCATAAATTTTTTATATTGGTTCTTATAGAGTGTAAGATCGAGCAATGCGAGCTCGGGACTTGGGTATCCCGACTTGGAAAAAAATTAAAAAATGTTAGTTTATTAATTTTTTATTTTGGTTTTTATTGAGTGTAAGATTAGTGTAGAGACTTAGGGCATCCCGACTCGGACAGCTTAGGTTAGAAGTAGATAACCACGAAGGAGATGGCGGGGTCGAGTGAGCGAGCGTATAGACCCCCGCCATCTCCTTTGTGGCTATTTTTTTATAAGCCACTCAGAAGTGGAACTCCGTCGACCGGGCTTCCCTCGACTGCGCTACAGGAGGGAGGGGAGGGAAGCACCACGCACTTCGAACCTAACCTGCTCGCTTTGTTCGATTTTACACTCAATAAAACACCAAAATATTAACTTTTGTAATTATTTCGACTTTCTAGAGTGTCTGTGATAACATTTAAAGTCAGAAAACCATATAAAAACTTTAAGTGAGATAAAAAATTAATGAACAAAAAAATTTAATGTTTCTTTTTTTAATGTTATAACGTTATATTCGTAGAAGTGCGTTTATGATCACATTTAGTCATAAAACTATATGAAATCGTGAGGTGAGATATTTTCCATATTTTTTCCATAAAGACGAAGATTTTAAAAACAAATCATCGAAATCGGATGGTTTTTCGATTTTCTAGAGCCAAAAAACGAGGTGACAGCGATTTTATAAAATTACCTGAAGTTTTTCGAATAGATTATTAAGACGTATCATTTTAAATATGTAAAAATATGTCATAAATTATAATTACGTAATATTTTAGAATAAAATTATATCGTTACGGTTGAAAATGAGCTATCCCTCAATATGTATTTATTTGGGTGGGCAAAAGGACAGTTTTAGTGCAACATCTTATGGCCTTAATAACTCAGTGGAGTCGGCTCGACTGGTGAAGAACACGCGCAAAATAACAGTGCAATAGTTTGTCTTGACGCCATATTCACGCCCCGCCAATCGCTCGATTTCCATTATAGTCTTACCCATTGCCCTCAGGGCTTACATTTTCGCATTTTGATTCTTAATGAAAGATAAATTCAGGTGTCTATGGGTTACAGCATCCACTTATCACATGATTGCGTGCTTGTATAATACATTTCTAAAAAAATACATGAAATATGAACATAAGTTCGAATATTAAATTTTGGAAATACATTAACATAATTATTTCAAAAAATAATATTGCGAGTGCAGTTGTTCAAATTGCTCTATTGCAAGCAGTATATCGCTTTATTCCATTAATATTTCGTGATAC